TTGATTTAAGTCATAAATTTATCAATGGGAGCTTCGCTTTTAGCCGTGGCTAAATCTATATATTATTTAACAAGAGCTTGAAACTAAGATACTAAGGATGCTTTCCAAAAGTTAAAATTGGCCGGCCGGACCGTTTATTTTTGAAAATAAAATATTAGTCTTTACTCGAACTTTACTAAAACCTATCACATCCGAGTGAACTATTTACGAATATACTGATCTTGCTGGATAGTCCTGATTGATAGTGGAATTCTCCTTAAGATTGGACTGGTTTGGCCAGCCAGTTCTGACAAATGGTAAGCGCCCTTAATTTCGACAAGTATAATTCCGTAATGGAGCTTTTTAAAGACCTTTCAAAAGGTCTTAAGGAGAACAAGAGAGGAGTACTTCTCGTTTTAGATGGTAAGTGATTCTAGACGTATGATCCTTTACAGCGGTAAAAGCTTTTTTGTGAAGTAAGAATGGGGAATGAAAGCATTATTTTTACCCGTACTTCTTAAGATGATGTTACACGGGACGATTCCCAACGAGGATTTTTAGCGCAACGCAGCGTTGCAATGCTGGAACAATGTTGCAAGAATTCAAAACAATGTCGCATCAATGTTGCGACGCTGTGTTATGCTAAAAATCGTCGTACGGTTGCGAATCGTCCCTTGTAACATCACATTTAGGCCATAAGAAACTAAACTAGATACCTTGCTTTATGAATGCATTAAGTATATCTCACACCACCCTCAGGTTAACAATTATTTATTTTTGGGCAAATGTTAAATGAAGTTGACCGTTTTTGTGTTTCTATTTTTTCCTCAGGATGAAACCACGAGAAACAAAAGCACGGCGAGATACGTATTACTTGCATATCAACCTTGTACTAGCCATATGTTTTTCACAGATCTGTTTTGTAATTGGAACTTTCATCGTTACAGTTGATGTGGTATGTCTAACTCTTGGAATCCCATTTTAATTTGATATCAGTTTTTAACTTTACATCACTAGTGAGATATCCGCAAACTAGCTACATGGCTATGCATGTTTCAGGGGCACCCGACGAATGTTTTCGTAAAATATCTGTTCGGAGAAGCAAATATGCGTAGAACCTTCTATTACTTGAGGGCGGCTAAAAATTTCTAGATGACCGTTTCATTCATGGACAATTTTCGAAGCTTATGTAACAAATACCTTGCGATTTTCTAAAGTTTAATTTTTCACATTTCACACCCAACCACTTTCGTAATGCACTTAATTACATCTGAAATTTTCGGGAAAATAATACTAAAGCCCTTGTAATTTCGATAAGACTCAAGTCCCCCTAGGATGACCGAATAGATTCAAATTCATGCATTCCTAGAGGCCTAAAAGTACTCTGGATAACTTAAAAGGTGTTATCAATTCATTTGGGAGGAAACCGTCGTTAGGTGCCCCTGATATTTCCGCTTAAAATATATACAGCTATTTCGAGAAAGGTTGTCGGAAAAAATGTGCACGCGACAATCCTGAAAGGTAATATGGGATATGGTCAATACATTGTTCCTAACGACTGTACCTGTCGAACCTAGTTTTGTTACTTTTCTGTAGCACTCGCAGACATGTGTCCATGGCCTCTCCTGCCATTCTTTCAAATTTCTTCGAAAAACAGTGAACTCGAAACCACCCACAATACCTTTCGGGATTGTCGCGTGCACATTTTTTCCGACAACATTTCTCGAAATAGCTGTAAACAACTGACCACTCCAGAAAATACCACAACATACCATAATGCTCTTTGTTTGTCGCCCCAAAATTTTGCATAAGCTTTGTCTTTAGTTTCTTTTGGGAGTTTAAATGGCCCCTAGAGAAACTGAAAACAATGCTTATGCAAACTTTTGGGGTGACAAACAAAGAGCATTATGGTATGTTATGACGTTTTCTGGAGTGGTCAGTTCAGAGGTTCCCTCATAGGAGTCCTTATAACCTGAACAAAGAAAATTGCCTGTATGAGTTCTTTGTCAAATGTATGTTAAACGTAACAGAGATAAATTAACTTTTAGTCATATAAAAGGCAAAATATTAACCGTTAACCATAATTTATAAATGCTTGCGCCCTTTTGAGACCCTCTGTTAGCTACAGATCCTCGTTTGTTTTTCTCCTCATGAGGTGCATGGGCGTAAACTTAAATGGTGGATGAAGTAAATCGCTAATACTCGGAAAACTGCTTTTCTAATGCCATGTGAAAATCTTCTGATGCGGAAAACCATCACGAGGAAAATTGCGTTTGAACATGTAAAGCTAACTGTTATAGTGGTTGGTAATTTATCAATATGATTTTTTTCATCTCTTTCTCCTCCAGCTTGCTTGTAGAATAATTTCCATAGCAACACACTACTTCCTCAGTGCATCTTTTTGTTGGATGTTGGCTGAGGGAATCCATATTTACAACAAAATCGTGCGCGTTTTCAGCAACAAAAAGTACAACAAAGTTTTCTTTGTGTTAGGCTGGGGTAAGTAATAGTTAGCAGGATAAAGTTCCGCACCGTAAGATTGCACCGATCCAAAGTACACAATGTATAGAGCGTTTTCACTCACGTGGCCAGTATCTATGCAAATTTATTGAAACAAAAGAAAGCGTTTGCACCAGAAAAGAGTTCAACTCCCACAGGATTGGTTTGGAAGACCAACATGGCCGTCGTTTTATTTTTTCGGGACACCAATATGGCCGCCGTGACGTCATTTGAAAACACTCTATAACGTTAAAACCACCACTTTTCGGTCTGAACGTTTGATTGCTAGTAAGTAATTGGGAAGAACAAGTCCCCAAACCGACTATTGGCCAGCTGTCGAGCGACCGTTGACCGACGTTGGCCGACAGGTGGTTGTGTCAAGTTCTTCTTCTTACTGAACTAGCGAATCGAATAGTTTGAGGAACTTATTTAGTAGTCTAGATTCGCGCCAAAGTCAATCTAGGAATAAGCTGCTGTTTCGAGAAAATGCCTTGATTCGAATACATAGGAATTGATGGCTCCGGCCTAGTTGCACATTTCCTTACACAATTAGTCAGTCACAATTTGATAAAAGATCCCAGCATTTTTCTTTGGTGATCGTTTATTTATTCTTGACACCTTTTCCTCTTGGTTACATATTGACATTGTCAGGAGTAATTTGTTGTTCGTCTCTCTTGAGACTTGAGGGTTGCCACTAATTGCTAATGTAGTAAAGCTTCTGTAAAACGGGCAACAAAAACTTGCAACTTGTTTGCAACATTGCTGCAAAACGAGTTGAATAATAATGTCGCCCGTTTTACCACCCATGTTAACAACCTGATTTGTTGCAAGACAGGTTTGATGTGGGTGATAAAACGCGCAACATCGCTATTCAACTGTTTTGCAGCAATGATGCAAGACAAGTTGCATGTTTTCTGTTGCCTGTTTTACCGTAACTTAAGAAAAGTTTGTTTTCTTTTTTTCTTTAGGAGCTCCTATTATTTCTGTGATGGTGTCTTCCGGAATTGCCTTCCATCATTATGGCCCACACAACATGTAATTATTTTGATACTTTACAAAAAGGAACAGTCTTTATAGATTGCAGGTTTATTGTTGGAATTGCGTGTTTGTTTCGATAATTTGACGAAAAATGTTTTAAGACGGCTACGAAAAAATGGCAGAGCCAAAAAAGCTTTCCCAACAAAACTAAGGTTATTGTAAAACATCATTGTATCTGGGTGAGAGAGTAGGAAGTTCATCATTAACCTGGAGCAGATCTTTTAAAAATTCCAAGATGCTTCGTTATTACCGAGATAGGATGTGCGGGCTACCTTTTTTACCTGTCTCCCCTTCATAATCGCTTTTAACTATACGGCTGGTTCTACGATCGAGCAAGATGAAGCGAATCTCTCTTAGGAAGTAAGAATGTGGCCAATTCCCAGCCAAATTAAAGTTACCTCATATATGTTGACTTATACAGAATGACAAGTAAAACATGTTTCTCTTCGTGATTAATGTCGCGAGTTCACGGTATTCTCATGTTGATTTTTAAGGTGAAAGCACTTGTTGATTAAATTGAATTGTTCATCCAGTATAAAAAGTTCTTGCTATTTCGATGTTTTAGTTGCTGGTTGTCTGGGAAGCTGATATGGGCTTTTGCTGCACCTGTATTGTTCGTCATGCTAGTAAGTACTTTTTCTTTGCTTTTACCATTTACAGTTTATCAAAAGGACCTACCGGATCAGTCTTCTTTACAAGCTTGTTTCTCTCGTAGCGAGGTTTATAAATGCGTCGCGCGTGAATCGCATAAGAAACTCAACGTGGCCTGATTTGGGTTTGTCCATGTACATGTATATCATGTCGGGTTTTAGAAAACGCCTCTTCCGTCAAGCAGTTTTTTTTCGCTCAAACATCTCCAAATTAGACAATAAAAAACTAAGAGTATTACTTTTTCTTTATGTCTCCTCGCTTCCTCTATTTTTGTGTTGTGATTTCTGGGCTTAATATTTAGCCTCTTTTCATTCAAATGAGTGCACTTTTCAGTAGGTACGTATTCAAAAATCCAGTTATTAATCAGCTATTGGATGGATCAGAGTATGAATTGACGAACTGAGCCGATCTCGTTATCACGGTGATACGAAAGCCGAATCCAATAATTATATTTTTATTTCATTCAAAATATTTCCAGCCTCAACAAAACATGCCGACCTCGCTCTATGTGCAGCCCCGTCTTCATTACTTGATCCTCGGCAGTTTAGTGTTTTGAAGGGATGTTTATTCTGTTAGTCATTTTTTTAAATGTAGAAATGAGATTGTGGCTACGTTCCCATGGCACCGGACAAATTTTCAAACAGCTTACAAATTGGAGCAGACACTGTCCGTTCAATATTTGCGCTTTGTTCACACGAAACCTGAAAACGACCAGGCGTCTAAATTTCGTACCGTTTCTCTGTGTGAGTGAACAGAACACCTTAACGCACGCATTTTCAACCTGTGGAAAATTCGTCCGGAGCCGTGTGAACGCAACCTTAGCAAGGGGTGAGTGGATGCTAGTGACATGCGGTTTCACCGTACGCGTCTGCCGGCCCCTACGTACAGATTAGTGAGATTAAGCAACGATGACGGCGACGGCAACGAGAACGGCAAAAAAACAACAACTTTTGATTGACAAAATCAAAAACTTTGCACGTGCATCACGGTTTTTTGTACATTTCTTTGCCGTCATATACTTTTTAAATGACGTTTTTGTAGCCGTCGCGGTCGTCGTTGCTTAAGCTCGCTAAAGCGTACGCAGGGGCCGGCAGACGCGTACGGAGAAACCGCATGTCGCTAGCATCCACTCGCCTCCTCGCAAAGGTTGCTCTCTATTGTGGGGGGCGAATGCGAAGTATTTCTGTAGACCTTGAATTTGAAAGACCTTACAATCCCCCAAAATTAATCGTAAATGAGCAATTCACTTTTGCTTTTTCACTTTTTTACTACTTCTTTTAGTTTAAAAGGCTGAACTAACTTAACCTGTAAGTACGATATCTTTTACAAAGTAATGAGGTGAAATTATGCGTTGCTTCTTTATTAGGTAAACTGCTTTATCCTCATTAGCGTTATATACGTTTTATTGACAAAGACAATGGTAAAGGCTGGAGAAGAAAACTCGACCAAGAAATCCAACACAAGGTAAACTATACTGAAGGGTGAAACGGGTGAACGTCCAATAAAATTAGATAGAATATTCGAGAAGTATTATATCAAACATGAGTTGAATCCGATGTCTAATCACGGAGGAGAAATATATCAATCACGAAAGGGAGTGTTTCATCCATCATCCATCATCCGATATTCAAGACCGAGAAGTTATTTATCAAACACGAGTGGAAGTGTTTCATCAGATATCCAGACACCGAGAAGTGATATATCAGACACTGGGAGAAGTGTTTGATTCGATATCCCAGCACAGAAAATTAATATATAAAACACGAGAGGAAGTGATTCATCCAATATCCAGACACGGAGAATTATATGCCAGACGCAAGTAGGAGTGTTTCGAGTCCAAACACCTACAAGTGATATATCAAACGAGAGAGGTGTTTCAAACGATATCCAGACACTTGAAAGTTATACATCAAACACTGACGAGAAGTTCTTTTACATCCGATATTAAAACACGGAAAGGAAAAATACAAAACACGAGAGAGTGCGTTAAACTCTATAGAGTGTTTTCACACGACGTCACAGCGGCCATATTGGTGTCCAAAAACAATGAAACGGCGGCCATATTGGAGTCCCAAAACAGTAAGACGGCGGCCATATTGGTGTCCCAAACCAATCCTGTGGGAGTTGAACTCTTTTCTTGTGCAAACGCTTTCTTTTGTTCCAATAACTTTGCATAGATGCTGGCCACGTGAGTGAAAACACTCTATACCAAGTCATTACAAAGTAGTATATTAAACACGAGAAGAAGCAAAAGATGGAACATAGGTTGCTGTGCTGTGTTTCATCTGATATCTAAGACACTGGGAATAAAGATATAAAACACGAAGCAGTGGTTAAATTGGGCATCCAGACATCGAGAAGTAATGTATCAAACTCCATGCACATACACAAATTATACGCGACATATGCTTACATAGCCTGCGAATACAGCCGTCTTTCCTCGCTCCACGAAACGTCCTAAGCGGCGAGAAGCGAGGACAGACGGCTGTATTCGCAGGGAAATGCAGACACCGAGTAGAAGGTTCTCTGTAGAGCAGCACTAGATATAAGAAAGCATTGTATCTCACCCCTTCCCAACTTTTAGCGAGAAGCAGTTTTATTGTAAGATGTCATGTGATCTCGAAGCAACCAATTACAACGCACGCTGTAAGGGAAAATACCCAGCTATATGATGATGTCGTTTTTTTTTCTTTTTCCCGCCCAGACGCAGTATAAAAGTGACGGTGGTGTTGCTGCCTTTGCTTGGCCTCACATGGGTGTTCGGGTTTATGGCTGTCGATGAGAACACGATCTTCTTCCACTACATTTTTGCAACTATCAACTCTCTACAGGTATTTAGTGTGATATGTATCCATGTGAAGTTTGGTTTGAAAGGGGATAGCGCGGTGCGTTGGTTAATGAATGGGCGTTCTCCCCTGCATGTTTTCCAGTGCTCTCTTGGTTAACAGAAGACTTGCATGCGTTGATTTTTGACCAAAATAACATTAAATGGAAAGTGGAAAGGCAATGACTTTATTGTGGTTTAATGATGTCGTCGTATCGCGCGTAATGTTTTTTGAAACTGTTTCCGAGGTTGTCGCTTACTTGCAGTAGGGGTTTTATCATTCATTGTTTATTGAATAGATTAAGGAAAACTTAACCGACACGGGAAAATATCAAGCTCACATCCTAAGGCGAGGACTATTTTTTTTCAGTCTTTTAAAAAGTCAGTTAAAACCAAAGGGGTATGGGGAGAAGAAAGAAAGAGAGTGGAGAATAGTTATGGGAAGAAAAGTTAAATTCACTTGATTCCACAGAAACAGCACACTCCGTAGGAGTACAATCCTTAAGAAAATTGACTTAATCATGACAGCTACGAGTTAGCTCGAGTTAAACGGCATGCGTTTTAAATAAATAAAGAGAAGATCGCAGTTAAAGACGCGAGTTATGCAGTTAGGAACCGAAAGCCAGAAAAAATTCAGGCTTGCCTGGACTTAAGCATGTTCAAGCATAGCCTGAGCCTAATTTGCATAAAATCTTTTAATAATCATAACTTTGTGATAATTTACCAGATCCTTTCAAAATCTGCAACCTCGGAAAAGTCGGTAATTTTCCTGTGACGTAAGAAACCAGATAATTGTGTCACGTGACCAGTTATGGCCAGGTCCAGGAAAGAAGAGGAAACTTAAATGGGGTTGCGAGATGCCACTCGGAAGATATTAAATATAGTATTTTTTGTTATTCTATTATTGTTCCTCGCATGTATCTGTCTGGAATGCGGGTTGACTCGCATTTTTATTCGATTAACAATTAAGCAAAGTAGGTCACGTGACATCTGTTAATATCTTTTTTAGAAATTACAAAACCTCTCCTATTCGGCCACGGAGAAACTTCGCCGTACGGTAAAGAAAACATTTTCACATGGTTCAGACTTAGTAGTAATCAACCACTCCTACTCTTGAATATCATTATAACATCACGTTTCACGTGACCACTTTGGAAAGTTTTCGTAAAGTTTTTAGCAACTTTTAGCCGGTCGGAATTACAATATATGGCCGTAGAAGAAAAACAGCTTTATCTTCGCGGGGAGTCGAAACCTAAAAATGAGCCATGCTTTAACACCTTGACGATTGGAACCCTGACCTGTGCGATACCACTGCGGCCCTTTAAAAATTGGTTGAAATTCCGCCCTCGAAGAAAGAGAATGGCCGGGAACTAAGGTAGCTATGCTCTTACACGAGTAACTACGTTGAGTGTACTTAGCCTAGTTTGTTTCTGTCTTTATTTTCAGGGGATATTTATATTTGTTGCACACTGCTGGACAAACGATTCGGTAAGAACGCGTACAATTATGTTGCCAATTTTCCGTTATTTAAGTGGAATTGTTGGTCATGAAACCTGTTAGACTCCTTTGAAGTATGTTTTTGTTGGTTGTTTTGGACCTGACCGTGCACAACGTTCAGTAGCATTCCTATCGTTTTGACCTTATTGACAAATAGAGACATCACGTTAATTTATTCAGTCACAATTTGTGAACAAAAATCAAAGGATTGTGTATGGTCATGGAACTTCCAACATAAGCTACAGCACAGTTGTTTTCAACTTTGATGTTTGCCGGCTTTCCTAACCAGTTTCCTCTACTAAGTCTGGTCGTCACTAAGAATTTGCGCTTACTCCCTTTTCATCGTTTGTAGTTTGTATCCATTGGTATTTCATTTTGCCTTCGTTAATTTGAATAGGCCGTTTTCGAGTTAGCCTCCCCCGCAGACTTCTTAGGGGTGCGTCACGCGTTCCTTCCCGACGAACCCGACGAACGACGTTCGTGGGGAAGGAACGCGTGACGCACCCCTAAGAATGTCTGCGGGGGAGGCTATTTTTGAGTTGCCCCAAGCCTCTGTTTTAAAGCGAGGCTAAGTGCGAAACCATTGATGGTTTTGTACTTAGCCATGTTTTGAAACTGGGAGTTCAGTCTGGAACTCGGAAATGGCCTTCTATTATAAAATTTGGTTACTGTTTTCACTAGGTACGAGAAATTCTCCTTGAAAAAATGCCAAGCTTCAACATCAAAGGTAAATATAACATTGGTAAGAAACGGAAGCAGAGCAACGCTCGCAACAGCAGTACCTCTCTGGAGACAGCCACAACAAGCACTACATCGGTGAGACTCGTGACCATTAACAAGTCACCGACAGGTCCTCGGAGACTCTACGAACAGCCTCCGATGAAACTCGTGAACGTAGAGCAGGAGATGGCGATTGGTCGAGAGGAGCCCTACGATGAGAGATCCGTCAGACTTGTGAATCTAGCAAAGTTACCCTCGAAGTACGCGGACGTGTTTGATATTCCAGCCGCTAAGCTTTTCAGTGTCAATAAACCACCACCGATAAGGCGACAGGACAATTTTACATCCCTATCTTCGGTGAACCTCGTCACGCCCGACGACCTTCCGATTACACCTAAAGAGGCTTACGACAACCCCACTTACGCTTTCTGGTATCAAAACAATGCTCGGTAAAACCGCACAGTTTATTGAATGACTGTCGTAGAGGATAATCACCACTCAGGGTGTCAAACTAATTAGAATAGATGCTTTTGTTTTTAAATTCAGTTTACATGAACGATACCTCTCAGTTTTATGCTGAAACTAAGTAGCAGTTTAAAACTATTTATTCTAACTTATATTATTTTTGATGAAAGAGAGTCAAGAAACAATCAATATTAATGAATCATTAAATTATTTTTAGTGCGTATATACAGCACTATATCTAAGTGTATCTTATTAGTATGTGATTTTAATAATGTAAATAAGTAGTGGTATAGGCACCGGTTACGCTGTTTTTTTTTTCCGGAGGAATACTTTAACGCCGATTACGTCATAGCCTTTTATTTTTATCTCATCAATAAAATGCGTAGGAATCTCATTAAGATAAGGTCGTGGGCTATTTTGGGCGGTTTATACGGTTAGACAGGGTTTTTCTATTTTTAGATGGATAATGCCAAGTTATCTTTTAATTATGTGTCACTGTGTCATATCCTTATGTCGGGGTAGGATATCATTGTTTATTTGTATTGGTCGTATCCTTTCTTGGGTATGATAATGATAATGTCTAAACTGTTTTGTGATTAGTGGACATCTCTCAATTTGCAATTTGATTGGCTGCCGGAATGTTCTATTGTGTCTAAGTCCATAAAACCCTCTACTATAAGTCAGTAGTCGAAATAAAATCACTGAACCGTGGCAAAATTATGCACGCTCTGTTTCCTGCAACTTTAATGTCCAAGAATTGTCAAAGTCTATAAAAAGCAATTTTCTATCAAGATTGTCAACAAACACTTGTTTTCGGCCACTGTTACATAAACTAAGCGGATAAAGAAATGCAAATTTTCACACTTTCCTAAATAGATGTCTTTATAGTCTAAAAAGACTTATCTAGATCGTCAGCTACCACTTTTTCTAGGCCTGTGTTACCTAAATTAAAAGAATCAAGAAATTTAGAATTGTTGACCAAAACAATGGACATTCCTAGATCGTTTTTTTAAAGCCTAAACAACAATTTTCTACCGACACCGTCTACAAACACTTGTTCTCGGCCTATTTCACCTAAAATATCATGGAAGAAAAATATAGTAAATAGTAACCAAACACCTGTTCTCGGCCAATTTTACCGAAATTAATGGGATGAAGCATCTTCAGATTTTTTACCATAACCATGGACAAACCCCTTTAGAAAAATGCAAATTTGGTGACTTTCATAAATCGAGGTTTTTTTAAGCATAAAACGAATAATATTCTATCAAAATCGTCGCCATACACTTGTTCTCGGCTTCGTTTACTTATAAAAATTGAACAAAATCAATGTTTGACAGTCTAAAGAGAGTAATTGTCTTTATGGATCCTAAACGAACACTTTTTCTCGGCCTATTTTACCTCAATTCAACGAATAAAAAAATTTCAAAATTTTCGACCAAAAACGTGGACTACCCGTAAAAGTTAAGGTTTGTGTCGTTCCTGAATCCATGATTTTTAGTCCAGAAAGTCTAGTTTTCTATCGAGATCATCGCCAAAAACCTCTTCACGCCCTATTTTATCCTATTATTATAGTCTAGAAAGGCTTTTTCCTATCTAGAATATCGCCAAATACCTTTTCAATGCCTGCTTGCCTATTAAATAAAAAGATGGAAAAAATTCAAAGCCATGGACTAACCCTTTGGAAAAATGTCTCTTTTTCCACTTTTTTAACATCTTGTTTTCATAGTCTACAAAGGCTTTTTTATCTGGAAAATCGCCAAACGCTTTATTTTTGTTTATTTTGGGTAAAACATTCACGTAATATATTACAAACGAGTGCGAGGGTTTCATCAGGGATTCCAAACACCGAGAAACAGATGAAAGCACGAGGCCGAGTGCTTTTAGTTTCGACGTGATTGGAACCCCTGATGAAACCCGAAGCACGAGTTTTTGAGATGACTTCTCCAACGAAACAATAAAAAAAATATGTAGTGATACATTTTTTTGTATTGTCCTTCCCAAACGAAAGAACAATAATTTACGCAGCGATGCAATCTTGCCATATTACGTACAGGAGCCCCTGTACGTAGCATTACTTCAACATGCATGATTAATTGTTTTGGTGTAGTTGGTGTCTGACCATGAGTGTAGATGGAGAGGCAAGATTTAGGGAGCCGAAAACGGTTTACGCGAGAACGCGAGTTAGTCGAAAAAGCTATTCCCTCGTCGACCAAATATAGGAACAAATGGGCGGTAACAATTAGCGACTGGCAAATTTCTCGGTCGGTTATAGCTCCCGTTTTAGTTCCAGGAGGGCTATTTACATAAGGCCGTACAGCTTTCTACCAGCATTGAAGAAATGGATGCAGTAACCTTGAATTACTGGCTTAGCAAGTTTGTGATGGAGGTAGTCAAGAATTCGGGGGACAGATATCCACCGAAGACCGTTTATGGAATAATTTGTGGTGTCCGACGCTATCAAGCTTAATTATATCAAATAATATTCAGGTCATTTTTGGAATTGTTGTTAACGATGTATTAATTATTGAAAAATGCTCATTAAAATGCAAGTCACGGTTTGCTCTGAGATCAAAACCCGTAAGATTTTCATCTGAGTGTTCATTGGGTATCATGTGACCCAAATATGCCTCATTTATTGGCTGTTGTCCTCATGACGAATTAATACGTTTGAGAATTTTTTTGACCAAAACCATCGACTAACCACTTTTTTAACCACAAGACTTTTTTTCTATCTAGAATATAGCCAAACACAATTTTTCTTCCCTATTTTGTCTAAGAGAAAAGGATGGAAATTTTTTAATTCTTTAACAAAAACCATGGTCAA